ATATACATATATAACATTACATGGCAAACCACACACAACACACACAACAACAACAACACCACACACACACACACACACACACACACACACACACACACACACACACACACAACACCACACACACACACACACAACACACACACACTACACACACACACACACACACACACATGCGATCGACACACACACAACACACACAACACACACGCATACATATATATAATATATATATACTATATATATATATATATAGTGATATATATATATAATATATATATATATATATAATCATATATATATATATATAACATATATATACCATATACACCTATATATTTAATATATATATATAATATATATATATATATTATTTACATATATATATATATATAATATAAATAATACATATACATACAACACCACACACAACCACACCACACACACACACAACACACACAACAGTATAGATATAATTAAATAACTATATATTATAATATATAAATAATATATATATATATTAAAATATATATATTAGTATATAATATATAAATAATATATATAATCATAATAATATATATATATATATACATACACATAACATACACACACACACACACACACACAACACAACACACATCACACACACACACACACCCACACACACACACACACCACACACACACACACACACACAATATACCTTATATAGTAACGTCTAATTATATAGAATATATAATATATATATATATATATATACACTATATATACAACACAGACATTACACACACACACACACACACAACACACACACACACACACACACAGCACACAAGCCACACACACACACACCACACCACACACAACACAACACATATATATAATATCATTATATAAGATATATATAAATATATAGTATAGAAATAATATATATATATATTATATGTTATAATAATACATATATATATATATAGTATATATATAGTCACTATTATATATAAAATATATATATAATATACATATATGTGTGCTGTGTGTGTGGTGTGGTGTGTGGTGTGTGTGTGTGTGTGTGGGTGTGTCTGTGTGGTTGTCTTTGTTGTGTGCCGACACGCCCACATTTGCATATGCAAGCATATATATAATAATTATACTATAATCAATTCCTATATATATAACTACCATTCGAAAAGTCCTCAAATATTTTGATACCTTAATTTACTCATTTATTTCCGTGACCAGCGAATATTTGCTTCATCTGTTTTTTTTTTTTTTTTTGTGTTGTGTCTCCACCATTTATCGTTATTATCATGATATCATTAAAATTTATGATAATGGCAGATAACGAAATCGGCATTCATAATGATTACGATCAAAACAAAGAACGATTGTAACGAAAAGGTCATTAATAATCATATCGATGCCATAAATACGAATGAAGACCAATAGCGGTTGACCTTCAGCATAAATTTCCGTTCCTGATAAATCAATATATAAAATATTTATACATACATATATATATTATATATATATTATATATATATGTATATAATATATATTCTATTACATTATATTATATATATGTATTTATATATTATATATATATATATAATATATATATTATATATAGTATATTATATATATAATTATATAATTATATATATATTGTAGTATTAGTATAATATATATTATAGTATGATAGATATATATAAATAGGATAATAGATAGATAGATAGATAGATAGATAGATAGATTTTTTTTTCTTTTTTTTTTATCTTTTTTATTCTGCTCCTTCCTCGGGGGGGGGGGGAAGAATAGTAAGGGGGATGTTGGGGTGAATAGAGAAGGGATAGAGAAGAAAGAGAGAGAAATTGGGGGGGGGGAAATGATGACAAAGGTAGGGTAGTGAAAAAGAGGGAGAAAAGAGGAGAGAATAAAGATAGAGGAAGTAGTGGAGTGGAAGGGTGACGGGATAGAAAAAGGGGAAAAGGAGTAAGAAAGAAGAAAGAAGAGAGGAACAGGGAAAAGGATCATAAACAATAACGAATAGAGGTCGAAGCAACGACAACATCAGAAGGAACGATAAACAGAAGGAGAAGAAGGGATAGACAGAAGATGGAAGAGAGTGGAAGGAGGGCACAAGGACGATACAAATAATAAATAATCAAAACAAAAAATAGATAAAAATATATAACAAACAAACAAAAAAAAAAAAAATCGCACCACAAGAAAAAATAATATATATTAGGTGAGGAAGGGATAGAAAAGGATAGACGATAAAAAAAATGTTGCACAGACCAATAGCAAGGCAATTAGGTGATCGTCCATTAAGTGGAGATAAGACTCGCTACATTTGCGTCCGGGAGAGCCAATTAAAAACGCGGTATCTAATAAATGGAGGAAAAGGTAAGTGGAGATATGAATTATGAATGATTCTCGTTCGTCTTCATCTTCTTTCCTTCATTCTCTTCTCTCCTTCCTCTCTTTCTTTCTCTCTTCTTCTTCTTCCTCTTCTTCTTATTATTATTCTTTTTTTTCTTCTTCTCTTCCTCCTTATTCCGTCTTTTCATCTTCGCTTTCTTTTTGTTTCGTTTGTTCTCTTTTCCTTCTTCCTTTCTTCTTTGTCTTATTCTTACGTTTCATCTGTTTCTTCGTTTCTTCTTCGTCATTCGCTTATTTCTTCTTCTTGATCTTAATCTTTCCTATTAGCCGTTATCCGCTTTTCTTATAATTTTTTCTTGTTTTTGTTATCGTTATTGTTCTTGTTCTTGTTCTTCTTCTACTTTTTTCCTTTCTCTGTCCTTCTGCAGATAATAATGATAATGATATTCCTTTTTCTTCTTCCTCATTTGCTTCTGCGTCTTCTCTTCTTCTTTGTAATATTTCTCTTCTTCTTCGTCTTCTTCTTGTTTCATCTTCTTTCTTCTTTTTACTCGTCTGCGTCCTAATCTTTTTATCTTTTCTTCAACATTTCTCCGTCTTCTTCCTTTTCTGTGGCCGTCCTTTTCTTCATTCTGCCTTTCTACTATTACGTATCTTACTTCCTTTTCATCTTGGATATATAAGATGAAAACGTACATGTTGGTATGTGTGT